CAGCAGTCATCAGTGGGAGTCGGTGGAGAAGGTGCAGAGGTGGGAATTGAACCCACGACCTTCTGGCCTTAAGGCCAATGCTCTACCAACTGAGCTACTGTCGCCATGAAGTCAGTCATGTAATCATAAATGACTTGCATTTGAATACAATTATTTATAGCAAAATAAAGTTTTTTTTTCATTGTAAAAGCCCTTTTCAATCTAAAAACATGGCAGTTATGTGTACCACCATAACACTATCCCTAGCCTTAACCATCTACATTGGTCATATAGTGTCAAATTATTCTGCCCAAACCACAGCTAATCATTTATGCAACTTGATACCTAACTTATAAAGGTGAATACTATGGATGTTCACTCTAAATTTCGCCAATATTGTTTTTACCAATTTGATGGTAGTTCTTCTAACCGATGTAGAGCGTAGGGACCACTCACCAGAGACCACCGAACCTTCACTACTTTCATCAGTTCCAAATTTCTCCATCGGTGGCTCCTATCTATGTATCTATCACAGGCACTGCTGTCACTTTTACCTTGCAGGCCCTCTCCAGCTCCCCTCTGAGTGCTTCATATTTTTCAAGCTTCTCATAGAAAATTGTTTGTACTCCAAAAAAATGTACCCATTTCAGAGCATATGCATTACATACAATCATGGATAAAACTCAAAGCATTCATGAGAAAATAAAAATAAATGTAATCCAGCGTATTAGCCTGAATGAGTTCCAGAGTGGAATGGAGCTGGATGTGCATTACTATAGTTACCATAGTCCAACAACACTAATGTAAGCATAGTCTGTTTTTATCTATTACAGCGCCACCTGATGACAGCATTACTCAAGCACTCAGCACTCACAAACACACATGTACGCACACACACACACGCCGTCGTCCTGGAAACCGCGGCCTACAGCTGTCAAGTGTTCATCAGTTTCCACAGCAACGCCATAAGGTTGGGAGAGGAGACAATGATTTCAGACATAACACAGTGGAAAGGGGTTCAATGCGAGCCTTATTAGGTCGAATTACCCAGTGCAGATGTCTAACAAGTGGCAGGGCTTACGGTCATTACGGTCAGTGCAGTGTAGCCACGTGACGCGCGCCTTCATTTGGTCAAATTAGCCATCATATTAGAGCACGGGGGACGCTTAGAAGGGTATTATTACTCTAATTGGAGGACAGGGATTGATTTTTTTAAGATACACTTTTAGCTATTGCATTTACAGAGGAAACAATACCAATAAGGTTTTCCATTTTCAAGGGGAACGAAAACAAGTTTAAATCAATGTGATTTTTCTCAGCACAAGTTCCTTAACAAGCTCCATGGTCGTTTCGCAGAGACATGTTTTGAATAAGTCCCGGGGGATATGTGGAAATTGGCAAAGGGTTACCTGGGACAAATGTCTAAATGTTCTAGTGGATTTCTTGGATATTTTACAAGTTGTGCATTAATGTGGTCAAAGTACATTTATCACCCCAGGCTAAGTCCTGCCAGTCAAGGCCAGGCCAGGGGCAGCTGCTGGTTACTTAGAAATATGAAATGTGTGATAGCAAAATAAGATAAACAAAAAAAATATATACTGTATGTGGGACAGCAACAGAAGGATTTCATTTTATGTTTTATGTGCAGCCTTTTCTGTTTTCTTTGATTTGTGCTTTTTTGAATGTTTTATCTCAATTGTTTCTTCATTGGACCTGTTTGTTTGTGTATTTGTTCAAGAATACTAGATAATAAATTTAATTTACCCAACAACCTGGGCAAATATTTCATTATAATTTTTAACTCATTTAGAAATGTCATATGGGATGAAAACAATTTGAATAATAATAATAAAAACGTTATTCGAACCATTTAAACTTCAGTTATATGCAACATAAAGAAATTTAGGAAGCACTAAAAACAGGATGAATAACTATACAAATATTGATTAAAGACATCCTTAATTTGCTGATAGGGTTGTCAAAAGTATCAAAAATCAGATATTAGTATAGCAATAGTAAAGTGATATTATTATGTGTATAGCAATCAATACTAAAACTAGGACAACAATGCCCTTTCTTGAGCATTTCATTTATCATATTCATTTAGAGTTAAAAAACAAGAGTTTATTGTCAGAAAAAAGGACTACATGGATTTAAAATTTTTATTATCACCCACCATCACATCCCACCAACACACCACATTTCATCTGAATCCATACAGCAGTGTTTGCACAATCCTGCTTAAAGTCAAACACACATATGCAATAGACAGTTGTTTATGAACAGAGCAGCATATGTAACAAACAGCAGAGTTATTACGGGAACATTAGGATCACTTATGACACTCATGAAATTTAAGTCCCGATGCTTCCAAGCCTCAAACAACAATATTAGTTTCTATAATTGAGCAGACAAGTCTCCCCATATGTCACCACTCATCAGCCAGATCTCATCTACAAAACACTACACATCAAGCGCGTATGTGCGTGTGTGTGTGTGTGTGTGTGTGTCGAAATTTAAAGGTATATCTATTTCTGGCAATGACATCAGTCTGTGTGCGTAAACATGAGGCGTGCAGGTTTCGGGGTGACCTACAACGAAGACGTATAACTGCCAGATGAAAAGCAAGCAGGAGGAACCACAGCGTCCTTTTGAGAAGTTAAGTGAGGGTTTCGACCGCCTTTTGAAGCCTCCCTCGAGCAAAACAAGGATGTGACCTCAAAACATGTGCCGGGCTTGCACTACACTCATTTAACACTTGTATTCCAATAAAAAAACAAAAAACAAATACAATTCCCCAGGACAAAATATTTAGTTCAGATCATTAAAATGTGTTTTCTGAAAGACTGTCTGGGATTACTCATTGGTTGTTTCTTCTGTTTACTGTCAGAATAGATTATCTCGTAGCCGGCTGGACCTTTATAGAAGCTTGGGATTCATAATAAAATGACTCACGATGGAGTCATAGCGGTTCTTAAGCTTTTCAATGGTTGCAAGAATTATACAGTAATTTTCTATTCTTGGAGCGTTTTTCTTTTTTGGAGATAATGCAAGCCCACAATTTACATTAGACTTCAATTCTTATCAAAAATTCAACAATGTCACATCATGGTCAAGGTAAAGTTATGAACATTTTCACAGTCAGATTGTCTGTCCAAAAATTAGGCTTAATAGTTAACCTAATATAACTGCAATGTGTACAGCTGCAGTGATAACGGTACATTATAGAAAGCTAGAATTAACCGAACAAAAGGGTGTTGTAATGCTCGCCTTGGAATCCCCATGCTGCCATGTGTGCTTAAATTCTTAAAAACAGCACAACAGCCTGGAAACTCGGGTCACCATTTTTGCATAGATTTGGGGACCAATCACAGAACAGGGATGGGACGGCAAGATGACTATCATGCAATATTCCACAGACAGAAGCTCGTGGCTTGTTTACAGATCCAGCAGATAGTATCAAACATTCATGGACAATCGTAAACCACACTTCTCCTTCAAGAAAATGAATGGACGGTTCCCAGGCAACATGTTCAGTTGTGATATTTGGTCTGATGTTGGCCGGGCTAAATTTAATGCCGTCATTTTGTCAACTAAAATAGTGTTGTCCAACTGCAATTCTGACTTTGTTCAGCACCATAATCAAATCAAACCAATCCTAATACCGACCCGGGGAATAACTACCAAATTCTCTCAGTGACATTGCGATATTTTTTTGTCCTCACTCTGCAACACCATCACAAATGACACTAGTTTACACACAGGGCTACTATATTCTGCTCTGGGAAGAATATTGCTTTTACTTGTTATGGCTGCTGTGAGATTTCAGCAAATCAAATGTCTGACCACTCGGTGCAAAGTGGAAAATAAATGAGGCTTCTTCTATTTCAGACATGCCATTTGCCTGGAATACTCTTCTGAGCAAATGTTGTTTAGTTTGTCTGTACACTTCTTCAGACTCATATTGTATGTCTATGGTGGTCGATTTCTAATTTGTATATCTTTATATCTTATAATGAGGCTGTACTGCCCACAACATGCATTGTCCTTGTACAATTGGAGCTTTTCCATTGCGTCAGCATCAGAACCACCATACAAAGCACCATGAACAAAAGCTGAATTCTTCTGCTTCCAAGTCAGTCTGAATATGTGTCATGCATAAGTGCATTGCTATGTTGGAGCGAATGCAAATCTAGGGAGAGGGCCACAAGACATTTAAATGGCTTTCCTGGTGAAAAAGAAGAGCGTCAGTGTGATACGGGGACACTGAGAGACAGATAGAGCCCAGAGGTTGAGGCGTTTGGGCCATCCTTGCATCACTATGTGATTCTAATCAAAGTGACGAAGCCGCTGGGGTCAGCAGAGGAAAATAACATCAGTCAGTGTGACAGCGGTCCTATAATCCACAGTCCCTTTTTGACACTCCACCAGAACAGCCACTTAAGGGTATAAATAATTCATAACCAAATGAGGACGTTATCATGGCTGCCGTGGCACTATTAGCAGATAGCTTATGACATGCCACTTGGCAGCTCTTGAAACATGTGCACGCTTTAGTCTTTGCACTTAGGAAAAGGTAGACGATCTCTACATCTTCACCTCACCGGATGAAAGAAATGAGTGAAGAATACTTTGCTCTATGATTTTTACTTGGACTTCGCAATATAACAAACAAATATTATGGCAGGTGCATTATTGTAACCGCAATAGATGACCTCATGCTAATAAGAGTTCTATGCGCAGTACCTTTGTGCAGAGAATTCTAATTTGTACTGAGGAAAAACCTCGAAACACGGCTGGATGCTCCTCTCTCTGAACTGCTTTGGTAAACATTTGAGTTTGAAAAATAAAACACTTCTACTAAATAAATTCAAGTGCCTGACAATATGCCCGCTACTTTTAGCATTTTTTATTTTTGTTTTTTTCCTTTGGTGAGTGCTAGATCAGTGGTGAACCTAATGGCACTGAACAGGAGGCAATCAGGTAGAAGTCCCCAATCTTCTGGCAGAGACGAAAGCCTGATGAAGCCACACACTCGTCCTGGAGCCAAGGACGGAGACGGAGACAGCGTGAGGTCATCAAGAAGCGCCCGTCTGAACGCTCCATCACTCCAGCGCACTGTGGCTAACGAGGCCAGACGCAGCAGCAGGTGATCTGACCTGCTTCCAACTAGCTGCTTTACAACACAAATACATGTTGACAAGTAAGCCATCCATTTCATCGTAAAGAAGCAAAAGAACGCTTAGCTAGTTAAATATGAATAGACTCTTACTGGGGGGTGGAACGTTTATTTTCCACTATGCAACTCTGTCATGTTGTTTTCAATAGATAAAGTCCATTAAATGTATTGACTACATTTGGCTTAGCATTGCTTGTATTGTCGAGTTCACCTTTATAGGCAAGTACTGTATATATCCAGGACACTTTCCATACGTTCCAATTTAATGTGTGCAATCTGAGTGCTCTTAGTTGCTTCTTTCTCTGCTGTAATGTGCGCAATGATGACACTGAAATTTCTCCACTGCGAGACGAATAAAGGTATATCTTATCTTATCTTATACAGCCACCTGGCTTCGCACAAATGTTTTCCTACATCTACATTCTTTTCACTTCCATGTGTTTATTTTATTTATTTATGGTATTTACATAAGTTGTTCTCAAACTCTTATCCAGTTTCAGAGCTCCCCTTTTGTCTTAATCACATCCTATTTCTGAAAAAACCCAGAAGCCTAAAAGATGATTAATAAGGCTTTCATTTTTATATGAAAACATATTTTGGACTATTTGACCATTTCAAGAAAAAATATGAACAATTCAAACACTCTCTCTTGGCATGACCATCACCAGACTTGCTAAAGGAGAATACTGTATTTTGACCAATGCGGATAGGCCTCAGCTGTCTTGGATTCATTGCATCCAATAAGGAAGCAGTGGGGGCGGGTCTAACTAGTGCTTGAGTTAGATTTTTTTTTTCTCCATCTTCACATTTTGAAAAGTGCCTGACCTTCACTTTACCATCAAACATAACAGCGCTTGCATTTCCAATCCACATAACATGAAATGGCTGACTTCAAAGACTATTACATACTAGTTAATGACATTATTTATAGCGCGATGGACCTTTTAATGTCCAGAAATAATTCATGCAGTCTAGACAGTAAAGAGGGTTTCTTTTTGCACAAATCCAGTGAAATAAACAAGCCATACTTTCAGACTTCAGAAAGAGGGTTTTCATAACATGGAAATCTCACATACATCATACCATCTGTCCCGTTGGCGTTTTCATTAAGTGAAAATGCCAAGGTTTTACTGCCTTTTGAATTGGATTGTAATTAGATTATCCAATTTAAAAACCAGGGCTGAAGGGGTTGAATACTTTGATGAGACCGCATTGTGTTTGAGTACTTGTCAGACTCAAATTTAAGTTATAAGAGCATCACCACCTCGATCAATTTTTAATCAATTCGAGTTTCTTACTGCAAGCTAACATACTGTAGTGCATCCTTGACGTCCCCTGTAGACTTCGTCCCTAATGAGAAGGTATGCGTACAACATAACCCTGCCTCGCTGCTTTGGCCTTGTTGTAATACTGCACACGGGCGGTGGTGTCTGTGGGGAACCAACGCCATAAGTACTGTGTCTGTTGATATCGCTGTGTTGCCATGGCGAGGGCACGCCACCAATTCCCAAGGCCAAGACTTCCACCTCAGCTCCAGGTTTGGCTTGTTTATACGATTCACAGTCTGATCTCACGTGTGGGTGTGATGCAAGCCATTTTATTTCCTCTATATGAATAGCTTGTAATTGAAAAAATGCAGTGGGGAAGGGAAGAGGATAGGAACTGCTATTATCTTGGTCTTTTTGGTGTTGTGATGGAGTCGTTTAGGCAGCCGTAGGATTGGTTCAGTCCTGCAGCGTTTGCATTTGAAGAATGTGCACGTTGCAGAGCGTGTCCAGTCCTGCAGCTTCCCAGGGGAAACACATGCAGAGCTGTAAAAGGAGGGTGTTCCTGAGAATGAGCTAATGAGGGGAGACTAAAGGGCATGTAGTGAGAAACTTAGCCTCAACAAAACTAAAGGCTAGCTTCTTTTCACAACATTAACATTTAGAATAGGTCTGTATCAAGAGTGGGAAAGAACGCAATCAATCCCTCTGTCTGTATTGTCTTGTTTGATCTGTATATTATGATTAGAAATCCCTAAAAATATATGTTTACAACCATAAACTCAAAGCTTTTATTTTGTTTTCGTTTTTTCACTGAAAGCTCACACACAATTAACATACAACTGTGAAGTGAGAGCAGAATGATACATAATTGTGTCATCAATTCTAGTGAAAGGCTAAAAGTATTCACAGAGCATTTGTCTTTTGCCTTTCCAAAACAACGATTGCTGAACCCTGTGCCCGAACAAAAGCAGAGAGCCCACCTGTGTGTCATTTACTCTCAGTATAATCACAGCAGTTCAGTGACGGCCTCTGAGATATATTCACAGTATATTTGTCACTAAACAGAATCATGAGCATGGCAGCGCTGCAAATCTACCAAGACTCTCTACTCTTTTGCTTTCTCTTTACAGTCGCCATTTGCTTTGTTATGGTCTTTTAGTAAAATATCAAAAATAAAATATAATGTATACTTTACAAGTTCAAGCTGTATTAATAGTTTTACTGTATATTAGGTGCTTATATATTCGTTTAATTATTTGATGATAATTTTAGTTTCAAATAGCTTTTCTCCTCAAATGTGGTTAAAAAAACGATCATTTCAAAGGGCATCAAGGTTACGTTTCAACAATGTTTTCTTGATCCCGTTAGAATATATAGTCACATTATCTAATTATATGTAATGCAAACCTAATACATAATAATTTCCTGCACATAACATTTAACATATTCTTTACAACACATAACATTCGCTTTAAACTGCTCAACTCTTTGGATCTGTCTTTACTGTAAAAATCCCTAAGTGTTATTGTGCCATCTAGCTTTGACAGGGGGGTATTGCATGCCTTCAGTTCACAATTAACAGGAGCATGTATGAACAAGGGTTATATTTCCAAAAGCTACAGTATGTAAAAAACACACACATTTTTTGCACCTGAATTAGTTTTTTACTGTTTATCTGCCTGGTTTTATAATACAGGCATTCTTCCCTTCGAAGCATAATATTTTTGTGTGTCACTGATTTGTGCTTAAGAATGTGGATTGCGTTATGTTTCCTTGTTTTGCCGTCGATGTAGACACAAACCCCATGAAAAAAAGCCGCCAAAGCAGAAAGACAGGTTGTTTTTCTAGTATAACATTGATCACAGCAAAGAGTGATGGGAAAAAAAGTCAAAAATGGCTCAAAATTGGGAAAATGTATCTTAATCTGACTGCCTTAAAACAAGATTTGCCACAGGGACAAGCAAAATGATCTTATAAGACTAAATGGTTCACATATTGACCTCATTTTTTGCAGTGATAGAGGCAATAAGAAACCAGTCCTGTCTGTTATGATGTTAGTGCACTAAAGCCAGCCACCTGATGACGCCTGCACGCTCTGCGGAGGCTGATGGTTGTCGGATTGAACAGAGGCGGTGGATCAAAGGTGAGCTGGGAAAGACAGAGCAGGTTTGTTTGTGAGTGACAGGGCTCCGGGGGGAACTAAACGACCCACTGCTTTTACTGAATATGACTGACAACACGATAACATCCACATGACATCACTTTAGCAGCTGTGCACGGTGCTCACAGTAACATTTGCTTTACACAAATTAGACCTCAACATTCTGTCTTTATCGTAGTGGAAAATATGTAATCTTTGGCTGATGTAGAACTGATTGGCTGAGAGAGGGCCGCTGTTTTTGAACCTTATATTATTTAACTGAAAAGCTGAACAGATGTGAAAGAGGCCAAAATACATGTACGTGAAAACTACTGATGAAAATATGAAGAATGTATAAGTGCTATAATAAAGGTGGAACAAATGGATGTAATGAAAATATTTGCATTAAAAGGAGTTCCGTGTAAATATGTCGAAGGATGCAGTTGTTTGGGAGTAGGGATGTCAAAAGTATTGGTACTCAGATATGAATAGACTAATGGGTACTCATACTAATACTAGGTATTATAAAATGTAGAGATACTCATTTAAATTATCAATGGGGGGAAAAAAACATGTGAGATTCTTTGAGCCATTATATCAGAACAAAAATTTATTATTGATACTTAAATATCTAATATATAAGATCTGCAGGTCGTCATAGCCCGGGTCACACCAGGACAAGTAATTTTTTTGTTGTGTATAAATAATAGAACTCAGAGTATCAAGTATTAAATCTATCTATCAAAAAAGCAATAAAATGCACAGAATTTGCCTATAATTACCACAATAAAATACTACAATACATATCAGCTCAAATTATGGCACTGCTTGAATTTAGCTGTGTTTCAAAAAAGGTAAAATATTTAGCGTCAAATTATATTGCACCAAATCAATGTGTCAATGAAGAAATTATCATAGAACAAGAAACATTTTTTCGAGAAAATGCGTGTAAACTTGGTTCGCATGGATAACATATTTCATGTTGTTGTCGCATATCCACAATCCACATCACAGCTGCATCCATCCATTTGTTACTAATGCAAGTTACATGTCAGATCACTGGAGATGTGCGCAACTGTTTATTTTATGTGAGAAGTGTGTAAACAGGTTTAATATAAATAAGTTTTAAAAAATCTCAAATATGGAAAAAGGTATCTTAATTTGACCACTTTTTTACTGTCTTAAAACAAGATTTGCAAATAGAAAAAGAAGAATTATCCATCCATCCGTTTTCTTCCCCTTAGTGCTTTTCTGGTTTGGAGGGGGGGGGAGTCCGCAGGAGGATGGCAGCTCTGTCGGTGAGAGCACTGCAGCCTTGATCTTTCAGCGGGGGCTCAGGCAAAGTGGAGTAAGTGTCTTGTCCAAGGACACAACAACAGCAGTGGGAGTCAGTGGAGAAGGTCTCGTGGTGGGATCGAACCCATGACCATCAGGCTCAAAGGCAAGAAAGAAAAATAATGTTGTTTTAAAAAGATACAAGAAATGTCTCCGTTGGAATGAGAAAAAAATAATACTAAATTAATTTGTCCCATTGTCAAATTAATTTAGAATGTGCTGAAATCAAGATAAAAAGCACTCAATTTAAGACTCTATTTCCTCATATTTGATCATTTTTGCAGTGCATCTACGAGTAAGTGAAATGCCCTTTTCTGAAACCACTTAGACAAAGTAAGCCATTTTTATTCATGCCACACTTTTAACAGCCCAGGGACACGCAAAGCTCTTTACAATTTAGTATTTTCCATTCACCGCCTTCACACCAGAAAAATTGCACCAAAATAAACAAGCACAATGCACAGACCAATTTCCTATATTCTAATACCTATTTTATACAATCTATCATTTTTATTGCCGCGCTTCTGTGCTTCCCTCACACTGTACATCTCCTTAGACGGCTTTAAAAACATTCGCTCCGGTTCCATATGTTATAATTATTGTGAGCACCGCATTAGTATTCAAGGCAATTTCCCAGACGCAGACTTCCAGAGCTGATTAAAGAAAATCAAAGTGGGAAGTCCAATCGCTGGTGTCACCGCTGAGCCCTGTCTATTAATTAAAATGGGAATACGCCTTCATCATTGGCGCTATGTTTTTGGACCTTCCATTATTTAACTGCTGGGTGTAATGACATACAATTAAAAAAAGGGCTTTGCTACAGCCATAGAGCACAGTGGATTTCTCCTCCACCGTGATGCAATGCAAGCTGCTCACCGAGGTACTCTCCTTTCATGTCCCTCATCGCAAAATCTTTTTTATGTTCACCGTGAGTACATTCCGTGAATCAAACGGCTGTGATATTTAATTCACATGAAAAATAATGCAATTTCTCAACTGTTTCAGACATCCCGTCTCACAAGAGCTCATTACAAGTGCAGAAAACCTGTTTAAATATATTTCTATGCAAGAGGTAAAAGTGGGATAAGGTTTGTTAAAACAGTGGTCGGTCGCTGACCTTGAAGACGGGGAGAGAATTTCAATGGTTTCAAATGGACTGAATTAAATGAATAAAAATTGGGCCGTTGCTGTGACTTTCAATCACAAAGCTTTAACCTCGGAGTCGAGCAAATGTATGTTTAAAATCGAATGTGCTTGCTTGCCTTTTCTTTGACTTTCAAGCAACATTTGCATTATAATTTTCCTATTCAGTATTTTTGTAGTAACATGTTCTAGATTAAAAATATGTATATTATCATTAATTATTTATATTAGTTGATGTTTTGACTTGACTAACAATCTTCAGAAAATCAGTTATAAACGCATTACTGGTGTTGAATTGAATCACTTGTATCTGGGTAGTATCGTGATAGAAAAGATAAAAGAACTGTTCTTTGTCCTACAATGTTTGATAAGTAAGTGAGTAAGAAATCTTTATTTATATACCGCCTTTCACAGACCAGAGTCACAAAGCGGTTTACAATTATTTTTTGGGCATTAGTCTCCCACTCCAGAGATGGGAGCAGGGTCGCCAGTTCAGGAGGCGCATGCCAGATCTATTGTACATATTTTTAGTAGGGGAAACCGGAGTACCCGGAGGAAACCTACGCAGACGGGGGAGAACATGCAAACTCCACTCAGAAAGGCCCTGTTCCAACCGGGATTCGAACCCTTCTTGCTGAGAAGCGAGAGTGCTATCCACTCAGCCACTGTGCCGCCCGCCTGATAAAAACGGTATTGTATCTGCAGGCACTGAAAAATACCCATCTCAAGGCCTGATTAGCCCTACTCCCCAAAGATAATTTATAAAAACGGATCAAATCAGACCAAAATGAGCTGTCTTCATGGTAATAGAAAACCCTAAGTGAGTCGTTATTTGACACTTTGGGCTAAATGAGCCTCGTTTTCACTGTTCTGTCTGAAAAAAGCTGATCCAAAGTTGTAACAGACACCAAAATAATATTCATGTAAAAGCTCATGATAGAAAAAAAACAGTTTTTGAGTCAGTCATATTTATTACTTAGTCACATTTTTGTAATTTGTGAGTTAGGTACCCCAGCTCTTTGCTATATTTTATTACCTAGTCACAATTCACAGCCACCACCGTTTGACCATACACAGCCAATATCCATCAAAGTCCAATCTTTATTTTTGAGGGTTTGATAATAAAGGTGGGTCTGCTACCTGTTTATCTCCATGCCAATAATGTTCCTTACTATATCAACAAGATATTCTTTTATTTTTATTCTTAGCTCGTGCCATTAAACGTATCCAAATGAATAACAGAGACAAAACAGAACACCACCATCCATTAATTATACATCAGCTTTAATTGTCAGAGCCACCTGCTCCACGGCCCAAGATGGAGCTGCGTCGTATACACTAATTGCCTCTTCAGCCAAGCCACGGTAAATTTAATCAGACCACAAACTTTAATGCTTTGCTCCCCTGCAGCACATAATGGACCCAGTAATGCAATGAAATCCTTATCCGTTCCTTGCTGGGTGCCCGTATGCATCAGGCTTAATGGGACGAAGGCGGCGCGGGATGCTCTGACCGCCGCCGTGGAACCTCTCTTTGTTAATGAGACACAGTGTTCAAAGAGGGGCAAAGAGCACCCGCCATTAGGGACCGTCTACACCAGGCATGGAGTAGGATCGGCACGCTTCATACAGGCTCATGCATTTACCACTGCAATAGAACATGTAAAAATAATGTTGTTTCTTCCAAATCCTTGTAACTATAGTAAGTAAGTAATGTTTATTTATATACCGCCTTTCACAGACCAGAGTCACAAAGCGGTTTACAATTGTTATTATTTTTGGGCATTTGTCCTCTCACTCCTCACAGAGAGATGGGAGCAGGGTCACCAAACAGGAGGTGCATGCCAGACCTATTGTGCATATTTTTAGTGGTAGGGGAAACCGGAGCACCCTGAGGAAACCTACGCAGACACGTGGAGAACATGCAAACTCCACTCAGAAAGGCCCTGGTCCTTGGATGACTAAAAATTGAGAATGGCAAAATAGTGTCGATAATGATGATATTACATTTGAATCACTGTATAGGCTGACTAAAGTGGCCAGCCTATACAATAAACAATAAATTCACGATTCTTCAACATCAAAAAGAAAACCCACCCAGGCTCCCCCGGTGTTGCCTCTCTTCCATCAGTCTGCATCAGTGGCGTAGTAGTCACTGATGCAGACTGATGGAATGTAATATGCTATAAATAAAAGATACTTACTCATACTTACCCCGATGAAGTGGTCTTTCTGCATAGTTCTTGAATAAATAAATTTAATAAAATTGATATATGCTGTAAGAAAATTGTGATATGCATTTTCTCACATCGAGCTTGTGATTGTGAGTGCACAGAGGAGGTTTCCAGTTGCTAAATCATGAAGTGATGAATGTATTTTTTCAGTAATTCAGCAGTTTATCGGGTCTTATCAGCGCATCTCAATGGGAATATGCACTAAGGCTACAAATAAAAGACAGGTTTTGCAAACAGGAGTCACTTTTTGAAGTCGAACCTTAACGATATTTTGACTGTGGTCACATGCGCACCCTAAAGCCCAGTTAAAGTGGGTCTGAGCCCACTTCGCGATTTGATCCCGGCTTTAGGTGCTATGTGACCGCAGAAACAGATGAGACTGCTGTGTTCTATCACCATCAATTAAATTTGTACAAAACGTGATTTAGGATATACAGTAATAGCTGTTTCCTACATTGATTGTTCTGCCTGAATTTGGGTCCTAAGAAAAAAAATATTTGACCAGTCAGAACCATGTGATATTAAAGGAGCTATGTGGAGTTTGCCATTTTTGTGCTCGCGAAGCCCCCTCTGGCCAGACGTGTAACTGCAGCCTTAATGACGTTCACGAGGAACAGAACAGAACAGAAACAACAGGTGATTTAGTTCTGTCCTCGACAATTTACAGATTTGTGGCGATGACTCCAACAGAGGTAAGAAATGTTCCTGTTTTGTTTATTTAGACCAAATCAAAGTGTGATACTTCAGCAAATATAAAGCAAAGTAAATTTTCAAAAGCCTGAAGCCAAATGATAAAAAACATGAATGGACGACATTTGAAAGACGAACAAACAACAAAGTTGTCTGTAAGTATAGAACTAGATCAACTGTTCTGGTAAAATCAAATTACATCATAAATACAAAATATCATGTATTTTGGTGGTTTTGAAAGAGAAAGAAAGAACTCCTATTTATTTTGGAGCACAGAGTTTCCTTTTTATCCTGGCTTCATATATAATTTCTGTATCCATAATAGCAGCCAATCATCCATCCATCCATCCATTTTCTTCCCCTTAATCCATTTCTGGGTCAGGGGGGTGGCAGCCAGACCTACACCCAGTACACAGTACCCCGTATCCATAATAGCAGCCAATCAGATTAATACAACTTCTGAAATATGAATTAAAGTGTGGATTGACGAGAGAAATAAAACCGGTTCACTCTAAAATATACAGTACATTGGTTGAAAATCAAATGTAAGAACCAATTCATTGGTCAGAGTGACTAATTTGCATCGGTTGGCGCTATGACCCAAACAATTGGTTGAAAACACAATCACAGTACCTTTACCTGTGTACTAATCACCTCAACAAGTTTCATGTGGATGTTGTGCCGCCACCTACATGTGAAAGCCTGATCTGTCAGACCTCATAAGCTTCGCGGGGCACGGCCTGGACCTTTGGGGACCATGGGGCGGCTGTGAATGATTAGTGGCCAACTCCTTTAGGCACTCTGAATAATCATTTGCGTTGGTTGGCAATGACCAATACACTGTAGATTGGCGAAAACCAATTTTTTATGTTTTGCTTATTTTGCGTGTATGCCAATATTTTGTACATTAAATATATCTATGAAAGTACATTATACACTAAATTACAAACATGTTTTGAGGATGAATTGGTTAATCTTGGCTTGGCTTTTTTGTGAGATTATTGTCCTCTTTCCACCTGCCCACACAGCACACTGCAGTGCAAACTCCACTATCTTTCCCCTAATAAAACCCTAACATTGATTAAATGGCTCTCCAGCTCTCTTTACCGCTCTGCTGCTTGTTAGTTTCCTCAGTAACAAACAGTCATGGAGGTCACAGAGAAAAAGCAGTGTACCTTTAGTACATGGGTATGATGAGTTCAATACATTTTTCTGTGAAATGTAAAAGATATATTGATCAATCAAGATTTGTACATATTTTCTAATTATGGAAGAAATGAAAGGGAATGACAAGCCTACTCATTGTATTAATTTGGTCCAGGACACAAACAAAAATCACATTGTAGTACTGTTAATTAATCAATTAATTAATGAACATGAATAATTTGATCTGCTCAGGACACATAAGCTATAGCACAGATGCAACACAATTTAAATTTGGATGGAGTTTTTAAAACATTGCTGGCAAAAATCATTCTTTCAAAGCACATAAAAAACATGAATATAAACGAAGACCAAGAGTATTTAGACTACTACATATTCACTATATTTACTAATACACTACTCTACTAGACTTCTATTCTATATTTAGGCTACTTTAGAATCTTGCTCATGCCTTCGAAGTAAACATTGAACCTGCAAACCCGCAGAGCTCCAGCAGATGGCAGTAAATGCTAATAAACCAAGTACTGTCGTTTCAAACGGAAATATCTGTGTAGAAGCGTGTGAAATCTGGCAATTACTATATTTTTTATTCATAAATAGAATATGTAATATAAGGATGTACATTGGAATATATTTGCGTTAAAATAGTTATTACATTGTATTGTATGTATGTTTTTAACAATCGACAACAGTGGTTACGGTGTATCATTTTCGCTTTCTGATCTTCTCCTTTTGTCTCAAAAAATAATTCTGTCAACAACAATTACAGTTACACAATAATACTGAGCCTCGTGGTCTTCCACTGTCAAGTTTATTTTGGATCTGGTTGTACAGACTTGCTTTTCTTTAGGAATATCTTCTTAGAAAGGCTCCTTGCAGACGAAACCTGAGATCAAATGGAAAACTGGGCAAACTTTGCTTTGGGGGCGGTGTTCCAATAATCGCCTAGCAACGATGGCCGTAAACACTGAGCACATGTCGCAAAGGCAAACAGCCTGGTGTTGAAAAGAGTGGAGCGGAGCCCATTGTGGTGTTGGACAGTAGTGAGCCGCTGTTGAGAAGAAAGAGCAGATTGTGTGCTGACAAAGGAACTGCTGATACACACGCACACATGGACATAAATGTACTGCCTCCAGCCTGAGGACTGCCATGAAGACAGCGGCCGTGGGCAGGCGCAAACATCTCGGATTTGAAGACTCCACACTCGACATCTCAACTGTTTATTTGAGAAGCTAGCAGGCTAACTGCTACACACCTTGGAGCTAGACACTGGGAGCCCGTGTGAGTTTGATCTCCGAGGCTGTGCTTGGCTCTGCTGTGGATGCTGTCTGCAGACCTCTCACTCACGTCTTCAAGAAGCAGCAACTTGAAGAAGAATGGTTGAAACCGAGCGATCCTCATTTCTGCAAAACCACTGAAGAGGAGCAAAAGTCTCAGGTTTGTTTTACTCTTGTTTTGTGTGACTGATTCTGTCACAATCTCACACATGCTCATATCCTTACAATATTATACATCTTTAACAACAATATAACACATGTTTTCCCAGGTATTTTCAATTGAATAAATGCTTGATTCATATTCATGGTCCAGCATCTTTACAAGCACTTTGGAGTCACGTGGCAGATAAAACACCACTGATAAAACTTCTGACCTTGTGCAAATGCGAGAGGAAACGTCAATATTTATCTCAAAACAAACGTCTATCAGCAACCCACATCCTGCAACTTTAACAGCAAGAGTAATGTTACCATCATTCCTGTCACTGCTCTAGAATGTTATTAGAATGGCCAAAATGCAACAATATGATATGCATGCTGTTAAAATAACTATAGAAAAATGGTTTTATCTAAACCATATACTCTTCAAATGTCTTGAACCATGGACTCGTACAGTGAAGTATACTTTAGTCCAATCTGTCTTACTCTTGCACACATTGCATTTTGTGGTCTTAAAAAATGCTGGATAATTTCAACCAACTTTAGCATTTAGTAGAAAACTGATTTCTTAACGGTCTGCTCTCTGGTCCCTGCACAGACTCTAATCACTCTAAAATATTTATCTTCAGTTTAGTTAATGTAATAATAAACAGATAACCACAAAGCGACCTAATTCTGGCGTATTTGTACAAGGTTATGAGATGGATCTAATTTTGTCCTGAACCGAAAAAGACATTCTGCCGCTGTGTTTCTCTACTCTCTGTGGGGAATCGTCTTGTAATTGTAGCCTAAAAGTTCCCATAGGAGCAGTTTATTTTTGTACTTGACCTCCAAATCAAACTCTGCAGTTTTTGTCTCTATAATTTGCATTCACACAAATTGAAGGCGTGTTCAAAGTAATTAGCCATATTAAGAAGCAAATGAATTCAGTGTGTTGGTGCTCTTAGGATCTGTCGTTATAACACTTGTGGGGTGCAGTTGATATTTGTGCAATAATGCCACAATATGAAAGACAAAAGATGTACATCAGCGACTTCTTTATTGCGTTTTTAATTTCCACACACATTACTGATCATTATTAGTACTTTTCTTTCTTGAATAAGGATTGATTTAACCAAAGAAACCTATCCCTTCCGCCTAACATTTGGTGCATGGGTTCACCGACCCATAAACCCTGCCTTTGTATGTTGCGAAACAGAGCAGCTGCTAAAAGGAAGCAAAACGAATGTTATCTGTCATGCCGTGTTCCTCATGCCGAGACACAGAAGCAGCAGTGTGGCTGAAAGATGACCCTATTGATTGAGTTTTTTTTTTTTTAAAGTCACTCCCAGCTAAAGAGACATGAACTTCCCTTAAACATCCATACTATGTAAATCACTGCTAATTTGCGCCTTTAATCCAACGGACTCAATTTCTCATTAGCCGTGCGACTGTTGCTGTCATCTGTAGCCATCCATCATCACTGTATACGTCTGCGTATCCGGGCAATCGGAGTGCGGTGGCTAAATGTTTTCGTGATCAAACATTATTGACTCTTTGCAGTCGATAACCTTGGCAACAGCTCTTTTGCTCCTGCTTTAGACTAGAAAAGAGAAGGGGGGGTGTATGCGGGGGGTCAGAGAGCGCATTCACTGAGGCGCTAACACCGCGGCTCACCAGTTGTTCATGTATGTTTTCCAAGTCCATTCAACAGCGCGAGCACACCCACTTTGCATTCAAAACATGGCTCGGATTCATTTGCATTACGCGAGTGGTAAGTTAGTTTTTCTCCCCCGTGTCTCTCAGCCCAAGTCACTTACTGTATTTCTTTATCTTCCCCTGCGCGCTTCTTTTTGGAACTCCTTTTTTCTGCTTTGGAGAATTAATCAAGCATGTTCGTGTGTGGCCAGAGTTCATTATAACGTAATGAAGTTTAGCCCCAGGTGCGGTGGAGGAAATTGGTTAGGCACAGACTAGCTTTTTTTTTTGTTCTCCGAGCCCTTTTTCCCCCACGAACATTTATCTCCAGACGGTTAAATACAATGAGCACATTTTTCTTATCGTCCAAAATTTAAGTATAATAAAAAGTGGAGGATATTGGCAATGTCGTTCCGCTGCCTTCGTGACCTTGTGGCTCTGTGCACAGCCAACATTGCGCCTTTCACTTTATCTCTCCTTTTCTGCTCCAGTAATGAGCCATTTTGCAACTCTTAAAATCTGCCAAACTTGGAACACTTTGAACGCAAAAGTCTCATCTCCCATGCATGAAGAGTCGGGCATTCTTTGATTTGCCCTCTGTCTTTGCCTCTCCTTTTCCCAAACTGCTCACCAATACACTTTGTTCGTTCAGGAAACTTTCTTACCCCACTTTGGCAACCAAAATGATGAGGGGTAATTCAGCGCTTACTCCGAGCAGGGTTTCCTCTCGCTCTTCTGCGCCTCTTGCTGTCTGGAAAGTTGGCACTCCAGTCACTGCAGTCACTCTGTGGGGGTTATAGATGGGGTAGTGGAGAATTACAGATTTTTTGCAGCACAATGAGGTCCGCTTTAGTCTTACTATAGCAAACGCATGTGTCCTTAAACACGGCATGTGGCATTTATTAAGCAGCAAGTGAACTTTAGCCTTGTCAAAAACTGGAGTCGACAACCTTTTCTGATGTGAACTTTTTCATCATAGGTACAATATCTGGGGCTTTAATAGGTTTGAACATTTTTTTTGGTTCACATCTTCTGAAGTCTATGTAAAAAAAAAAAAAAAAACATGGGGGTCTAACCTTCTTTTTTGAGCGTCTTTGGGAACATAGTCACGTCAAAAATGAGCCTGAACATTGACATCAACAGTGAACACGCCTGAATCTTTCCTCCGAATCCTTCCTATTTATACGTCCACGTTGTATAAAAACATCGCTTGGTGTAAATTGCATGCATTTGTTAACAATTCACTTTATTGTTTACAAATGCACACAAATAACCACAGATCATAAGCCACCAGACGATGAGCCATAAACAAACCTACAAAATACTGGGTATCTTTGCATTCACATAACCTCCTTCTCTTAATTAAAATTGGCCTATTCCTATCAACATCCATCAGGGCATTATGTAATAACTAGCAGTGGACCAATTACTGGCACCAATATTGAAATATCAGCAGGGTTTGTTGTTTTTAAATTGGTTAAAGTCCAACCTACTGGTTAAAACGACATTATACAAAGCAACAAAACACAAACGTGTACTGTCTTATAATTATTGATATTCAAAGATGCACAAATTACAAGTACTGCATTTCAGAGCATGTTTCTATACATCCATCCATTTTCTTCCACTTCATCCGTTGCCGGGTCGCGGGGCAACACTCTAAGCAGAGACACCCAGCCCTATCCACACACATCCTCCAGCTCGTCCAGGGGAACCCTAAGGCGTTCCCAGGCCAGCTGAGAGACATAGTCCCTCCAGCGTGTCCTGGGTCTTCCCCGGGGCCTCCTCCCAGTGGGACGTGCCCGGAACCTCTATACATTCAAATAATAGTCACCTGAGATCCAAAAAGGCTTCAATTTCCTTTTGTATTCTATATTATTTTTTTTCCCTGAGGTACTTCTTTACTCTGATCACAAATTAAACTTTCCGCTTAGGTGTAAACGATCAAATTAGTCGATTCCAAGCATCAGTTGATTTTTAATGTTAAATGTTTACGCATTTTAGTTTTATTCTGCAGTTTTAATAGCTCTGTTGGGAATCACAAAACTTCTTCACAGCATGCTGAAATCTGTGTTGTTCAAAAAATGATTAGAATTGGTCAACTATTTCAATAATCCATTACAACCTAAGATGACATGTTTTTTATTAAATAAAAAAAAAAATCACACACGCACTAAAAAATGAATGCGTCATATCCAAATAAACCTTTACTTAACTGTTTTTGTTTTGTTGTTTTTCTTTTGTTGAACTGCAGCTGCTGTAGAGAAAGTTTACAGATTAATTTAACAAAACCAAATGATTGTCCATTCTGAAGTGTGAAACCATTATATATTGGTTACTGATTATATACAACGACATGCTTTTTCTGTACATCTTTTAAAAGATGAGATGTGAAAGTTTGCACCTTGGGGGTAGGGAGCCTTAAATTACGAATGTGGCTACTGCCAAATACATGTTTTTTTTTTTTTTTTTTTGTGTGCAAATTCCAAAGAAGAACCCCCTTTCCAAATGGTGAGCCACTATCCATCATATGTGTACTCACTTTCCCCTTAGGTACAAAGCATTATGGGTAATGTGCAAGTAGTGAATAGATGGGTTACTCAACTACAAAAAAGACCATTGCTGCAGCCCTGCACAACTTTGCACATAAACGTCTCAACAACGTTCCTTCCAGTACAACAATGATCTGCATTGTGTGGCCGCATGAGCCATAACAACATAGACATTATCCCACTTTCCCTGACAAACTTTTTTATAGTTTGCTTGCAATAGAAGCCCACTTTCTTGTCTCCCAAACAAAAAGAGCATTGTGCAAGCCTTTTTTGTTTGTTATTGTTGTTGCTTAGGCAATTCACAAGGCCATTGATATAATCCAGAGATGCTCCTCAGGGTTGAGACCTAAACATGTCTGAGTAGACGAAGACTCCTTTATCCGGGTTAGTTGACTACCAGCTTGTGCATTTCATTACCTCCACTGTCTCAGGCTTGCTTGCGGCTCGCTGCCCTGTGTCTTGGCTCGTCTTCTGTAAGAGGTGGAGAGGTGAGCTTCTCCCGGCACGGTAAAGGTTACAGTTCGCCATCCCAAAGCCCCCCGTTGATCCTACTTAAACCTCACATCTGCGGCTCAGATCTCACCGCCTCGCTCTGTACCGAAAATTGCCCGTGTCAGATGCCAAATAGAACATGAAGAGAGATGTTTGAGGAAAGGTTTCATCAGTTTCTCCTCAATGCTTGTTCCTGTAGGTGAGGCTATCATAGATGTTACTAATATATTAACAAATTAATATTCATGAATTATAGCCTCACCAATCCTCCCTTATTCGATCAATAATTGTGTAGTGCAATATAATTGTTTATTTTGGTTTAAGTTAAAAAATGCGACGCTTCTTATCCAAACAGTACTTAAGTGTAATCAATGTAATTTATTCATTGATTTAAGGCTCTGTCCTTTGTATTTCTGACCAGCCTGTGAGGTAAGCACTGACGTGGTCCGCTTATCTACCACTGCACAGCTGCAGCTTTCTCCAGGGCGGCCCTGTCGGCTGCTTCCAGTACTTGCGTTGTTCCACATCTCCAGCCACTTAGATCTGAAAAGCAAGATTCAAGGAACTAATCATCATGCTCTGATCATGCGAGTGTGGCTGCTCGTTGGCTCTGGTCTCACAAGTCAGAAATCCTAATAGCCGTGTTGTAATGAGCGCTAATTGAGAATGGCTAATTTGCATGACCTCTAAGTAATTGTCTTTCTTAAAAGGACTTACAAGGCTCAATGATAAAAAGCTTATTGGGAGGTCTAACTATGTTACTGTTAGGGCTGGGCGATATGGCAAAAAAAAAAAATCTCCGATTTTTTTCACACCAAATCCGATTTTCGATTTTAATCGATTTATTTTTTTCTATTTAAAAACAAACTACAACTGACAAAGAAATAGATTTTCCTTTATGCAGTTCAATCTAAGACCCCATGGAGCATAAGTGTAACAGGAATTAAGCCTTAAAACATGCTTGTAAACGAGATGGCTCTGCCATTGTAAACAGTGAAAATGTAGCTTAACAGTTTTATAATAACTTCACTTACAATGACACTATGCACCTTCAAAATAACTTAAATCACACAAACAAGGCCCATCGCAAATATATCAATCCTATTAAACACATGCATTATTTACATGAAATATCACATTTTTAAAACTGATTACTCAAAATAGAAATGTTGTAACAGACAGTCTTTTCCAAAAGCCTCCTCGGGTTTTCATGCTTGTTCTTTCAACTGTGCCTGAGTAACTGTGCTGTAGTACAACGCTCGGTCCAGCTGGTGGCGCTAATACTAACTTCAGTGACTCCCGCATTGTGCGAGCTTCCTGTTTACATTCTGATGCTGTAGCTAACAGCTACTGTAGCAGCTACTGTAGCTAACAGCTACTGTAGCAGCTACTGTAGCTAACAGCTACTGTAGCAGCTACTGTAGCTAACAGCTACTGTAGCAGCTACTGTAGCTAACAGCTACTGTAGCAGCTACTGTAGCTAACAGCTACTGTAGCAGCTACTGTAGCTAACAGCTACTGTAGCAGCTACTGTAGCTAACAGCTACTGTAGCAGCTACTGTAGCTAACAGCTACTGTAGCATCTACTGTAGCTAACAGCTACTGTAGCATCTACTGTAGCTAACAGCTACTGTAGCATCTACTGTAGCTAACAGCTACTGTAGCATCTACTGTAGCTAACAGCTACTGTAGCTAACAGCTACTGTAGCATCTACTGTAGCCAACAGCTACTGTAGCTAACAGCTACTGTAGCATCTACTGTAGCCAACAGCTACTGTAGCTAACAGCTACTGTAGCATCTACTGTAGCCAACAGCTACTGTAGCTAACAGCTACTGTAGCATCTACTGTAGCCAACAGCTACTGTAGCTAACAGCTACTGTAGCATCTACTGTAGCCAACAGCTACTGTAGCTAACAGCTACTGTAGCATCTACTGTAGCTAACAGCTACTGTAGCTAACAGCTACTGTAGCATCTACTGTAGCTAACAGCTACTGTAGCTAACAGCTACTGTAGCAGCTACTGTAGCTAACAGACAGCGGGGAACACGTTGTTTGTATCAGAGCAATGAGAACAATGTGTGAGACGTGTCTTTCCCCAAAGTGCAGCGGCTCAGTGGGACACGAGTGTGTGCGCGCCACGGACACGGGAGTGCGCTTTTGAATAACGAGCGTGAGAGAGCGTGAAAGATGTGGCGTACGAACATGGCGTACGAACATAGCGACCGGGGCTTGCGTGCGTGTGTGTGTGTGTTCTGGCGATTTAAAGACCTTATGACGGGTTTTTAAAAAAAAAATAGTGGATATCAAAATTGCATGACAATGTCAATTTGAAAGAGATTCCGGCAAAAAAAATCCTATATTTTATAAAAAGAACGTGTTTTTCATGAATTTAAGTTGTCTATGCTCTAACCTGTGTGTGACGTCATAGCGGGTTACGCCCATGCATTGAAAACCATGGATCTATGCCACAGGACTGCCTTTTCTCTCTTCTCTCCACTGATGCCCAACACAATACTGCCCTCTACAGGTGACAATTGCTCACTACACATAAATTGCCGTTTTGAGTGTGAAAAAATGTCCGAGGTGGGAATTGAACCCAAGTATCTGGATTGGCAGTCCATCGACACAACCACTGGACTATCTCAGTGACAACGAAGTGTGACATTCTAGTAGCTATTTTATACTTGCTGTACACGGCCTTGTCATCTTGAATATCCGCGAAAAAAGAACGAATACCAAATTGTAAACAACTTACAGCGTTGAAACGTACCCGTTCTGACGTCACCAAGGGCTGTGAAGTTTTTTCGTTTCTAAGGGCGTTGCTATGGGGTTATTTCGATTTGGGGGGATCAGACAAAAAAAACAACAACTGATTTTGAAACCTTTAGTAGTTCTCTTCTAATATAAAATGGTATTAAAACTGTATTTCTAAATAAATCAAACCTGTCATAAGGTCTTTAAATAAAGTCTGGAAGTGTTATTGCAACAGCACCAACTGTGAGAGCGAGCATCAGGCCAGAGGGAGACTGTTAGCATTAGGTTAGCTTCAAAATGACTGCTCAACACCAAAGACCCGCGGTTAGCGCGTTAGCGCTGTAGTTCTGCGATGGAGAAAATAAAAATCGAATTTTTAAAAAAAGAAATCGCCCTAAATGTAAAACTCGAATTAATGATTAAAATCGATTAATCGCCCAGCCCTAGTTACTGTATATGCAGAGACTTAAGAGTCTCTCAGGATTTCTTAGTGCAGGGGCAGAGGGACCACAGCAGAAATGAGTGATATAATTAGCTTTTTCTGTTTGGCTGTGTTCTGTTTCTCTTTACAGAACACTCAAGTGAAACTCTGGACAACTACAAACGTTACTTTTGTGACACCAGTCACTTTCAAAGAAACTACAGTTCAAAGCCTGTTTAACCTTTGATCAGAGTTGCATGCGTCCATTTTAAAGTCCACCCAGCATGATTTGATTCACGATGCAAAGTGAAATTTTAGACTTGAATGAGAAAGTGTAAGTTAGTGTTACCTCAAGGTGTGTGTACCATGCACTGTTATTTTGTGCATTGGAAGAAGAGTAATGGATACTTCTGCAGAGATCCTTGGAGGAATCATTCTTTGGGTGCAGCACATTATACATTTACAAGAAGGCAATCATTTCCACTTATTCTCATCACACACTGTTCTCACTTTATTATACAGTATATCCAAGAAATTATTTATTATTCCACACTGGTTTATTTTGTTTGACTGAGGCAATTTTGTAGTAAAATATTCATTTCAAACATTTGTGTTAGTTTTGTTCCCTCTCTGATTTCAGATTTTATGGCTCACGGCTGTAGGGAAAGGAGAAGGAGAAGATGACTCACTTACTCCTACAAGAAAGCGGCACGCGGCAGCAGCGCCAGTCTCTTCTCTGCCTCCAACTGAAGAACTGAAACGCCTGCACCATGACTGAGTGGCTCTGAGCTTTGGCCCCAGACGATCATCTCCCTCAGAACCCCGCCTCATCCCCGTCCAAAACATGCTGCGCTTTCTGCCCCTCAAACTGGGCCGCCTGTACCGCTGTCTCAAACTTCTGCTGGTAGTGGGATTATTTGTGGTCCTGCTGATGAACACCCACAACCTGTTTGCCTCATTCCAGAAGAACGAGCTCACTGACAGACGCTTCATCAACCTGAACAAGTGTCCTGCCTGTTTTGGCACCAGCTGGTGTCGGAAGTTCATGAACGGACAGGTGTCCTTTGAGACCTGGGGCCGCTTGCGATTCCTTGATGTTTTCAATGTCAAAAATGTTTACTTTGCTCAATATGGAGAGCCAAGGGAGGGCACTCGGCGTGTGGTGCTCAAGAGACTCGGCTCCAACCAGGAGCTGGCAGAGATAGACCAGAAGATCTGTAAGAGAGCCACAGGTAGACCCAGATGTGATCTCATTCAGGCAATGTACAAGACTGAGTTTGCCAGGATAAATGGAGATGTGCGTCTGCTTACCCCAGACGTAGTAGAGGGCTGGTCAGACTTGGTGCACTGTCCTTCTCAAAGACTATTGGACCGTGTAGTGCGCAGGTACGCTGAGACCAAAGACTCAGGCAGCTTCCTGCTCAAGAACCTTAAAGACACAGAGAGGATGCAGCTGCTCATGACGCTGGCATTTAACCCTGAACCACTTGTTCTCCAGGTGAGTTTTAAGTGCTGCTGTGTATATTAAGTAGAAACTATACTAATTGACAAATGTGTTGGACCCATAACACAATTCAGAGAATGATCTGTTCTTCACAATAAACAACATTTGAGTGCTCCAACAGTGTGGCTGCGGCCTCCTAAATTACAGGGTGGGTTTTCCCTCTTCCTCTTCATAAATCGAAGAAGAGCCATTATACTCTGCCTAAACTGAAGGGCACATCAAAACTACAACCTAGTATTCAGGGCATTCCACAGCTGAGAATAGAAAAGGGTTTAAAGGCTGTGGCCTCCTAAAAGATGAGAGATTTTGGCTTGCGGCAATGCTGCATATTTAACACTATATGTAGGGCACTTTTGAATAATTCAACAGTGCATTTGTAAATGGTCCAAGTTTTTTTTATTTTAATTTATGTCTATGTCGTTGTACTTTACATCATTTGTAAATCTTTACGTGATGGAAAATAAGCACAAGAGAAGATTCCGATAGCTTTCACTATAAAACAAATCCAAAGCATTGCACACTGACTCAAACCCAGTATTTACTTCTGCCGTGCTTGTCACCCACTCTGTTTTCGTCTGTAAATTATGTAAACGGACAGCCTCTCGCCTGGCTCATCTGAAAGCATCCCAATCAATTTCAATTTCAATCCACCATTGACCGTGTCTCGTGAGGGGGACATGACAACAATGGTCACGGCCCAAGTAGACATTCAATAACTTTTGCTGACCTCCAGTGGCCTCCCCACTCACGGGGCAGGACACCTCTGGGCTTTTCAGAGGACAAAAGGCATGATCAGCCTTTTAGCCCGCACAATCTATAAAATCTGATTAGCTTTTGTGTGACTGCTCGCCTGCCTCCCACTGCACTTCCGAGTGCCTTTCTTCATGTCTTTTTCTTTTCTTTCCTTATTCACTGTGTGTCATCCTTCCCATCCCTTCTTCTGTACACCTCACAAACTCCAGTCACATAATACCATCCATGTTTTTAATGCCATTATGCCCTGGTTCAAAAGCTCAGTGTCTCCCCCCTCCCTTTATCCTTATCTTCACCAGACATTACGCACACGCATCATGCCCACACATTGTCTACAAGCTTTCTTTATGCAGACTGTGCTTCTCCTCACATGTTTACTGCGACTCATGTATTGTTGATTTCATTCTGAACTTGTGACCTGAGGGCAAAAGCAAACTGTGAGGGTCAAGATACTTCCAGATTTGCACTTACAGATAAATGGAATAAATAGTGTGGTTAGCTGTACATCTGTGAGCGACTTGCAGTGATTTGCATTCCTTGACTACTTGTCGGAAGCAATGATGACAAGAATTTGCAGAAAGTGCCATAGACCCCACACAAGGTTGGACCAGAGCAGACTATAAAGAATTAATGGTCTCTATAGAGATTGTACTCAAGTTGTGCTGTTCTACACCTTGTGCTTTTTTCTACTAAAGGTGAGTGCTCCTGTGAACGAAGCTCAAGACGAACGTGGGCTGTGCTTCATGAGCCGTGATTGACAAATGCACTTTTATTTCTATTGTTTATCAGTTGGCCTTCTTTGCACTGACGGTGTTAACTTCATATAGTCTTTTGATTATGATTTGATTTCATTGTTTGTGCACATTTTTCTCAGCTTTCCCATTTGGGGTTTTATTGGTTTTCTGGGTTAAATAATGTAACTTAAACATGTAACCCCCCCACTATAGAACAGCTTCTGTTCCCAGTCCTTTGAAGCCACAGACAGTTTATCGTCCCTGCTCACTATGAGAAAGCAGACGCTCATTGTCAGTTGGGAAACACTCTGCTGTGTTGTCAGGTTTGGCCAACACTGTTTTTTTCTGTGCAGTTACAATTGGCATGGAAAAGGAGGTGCTAGTTGGCAATGGCACGGAGAGCTCTAAATAACACTTAATTATTAGACTGATTGGAAATCCAATTTTGGATTTGTTGACAGTACAGCATTCATTATTTTTTGTCTTATGTTTTATAAGCAAGTACCTACCCCCTATTCCAAGGGATCACTTTCAGCTGCAGTCAATAACGGACGTGAATACAGGCATGGCATCATACAGTTTACATTAAACACTACAAGTTCCTGAGTTACCCAGCCACATGCACATCAGATAGTGCATGGGCCTTTTAACTTACAAGCAATTTGTATGGAACATATCATTCACATAGACACACCCATCGACCTGTCCAGGGTTTTTGTGGAACAAGCATTTATGCTTAAACCTGGCAAATTACTTGCTGTCCCTGATCTAATAATTTCCATTCACAGGCAATTGGTTCATGTTTCAAGAATTCGGTCCCTGAGACAAAATGAGTTTGTCCCCGTCTATGGAACCTTGTTTTCTTCTGTTGCCCCTTGTCGCTGGCAACTGGCAATCACATGATGAGCACATCTGGCCCAATCTTTAAATTAGTCCAATTTAGCTCGGCCCTCCCTTCCAAATCATTAACTTCTGCGATTTAGCCAAAAGCCTGTGACCGCACATGCACCCCTTTTTTGGTTCTTGGCCGCGTGCTCAGTGATGCCGAGAATGGGATGTGACAGGCCTGTGGGGGCAACTCAAGTCTGTGAACGCTCTTCATTTATGGCTTAGTCAAAGCGGTGCGCTCCTCAGACACCCTTCTCCCACTTTCCTGTTACCAAGTCTGTCTCAGCATCCGCCTCGCTGTTCTCTGTCCGCCCGGGCCGCACCTGCCGCACACGCAGCTTCGGCAGCGAGCATCATCATCCTCGCACATAACGCCTCATGTACTTTCCCACAACACAGACGTCTGACACAGAAGATGAATAAATCACAGCAGAAGAAAAACGCACAGATAAGAGGCCTGACCATGTGTTGGTTCTTCCCAAGAATACTGACTGCAGTGATATAGCACTAAGTAAAAGTGAAAAGTAAATATTTTCTGAATGGCTTGTTTTTTGTAGTAGTATTCAATGTAGGGGACGCAAGGTACAGCAGGCGTTGCAGAAAACAAAAGTGGTCGCGCTCACTGGTGATTATTTATGGACGACCAGTCCATTAGTAATCACAATTTAAGTATGCACAATAAGCCTTTCCCTTACACTTAATCTATTGCTACGTCATTTTTATATTTTCATTTATTTATTCTAGGCAATGATTAGGTTTATTAATTCATGGCACATTGCAAACATATTTATTTCCTCTAAATTATATATGAGGGTCAATTTAAATGTCTTACATTTATTTTGACAAAACTTGGAGCCACTCTATTCTTTTTAAAGTTGAAAAGCCAAGGAAGGATAAAGGAAGGAGGTATTTCTATGATTTCTGAAGCAGCCATGCTAGGTCAGCGTGTTGAGCAGCGGTCACGGTCACATAAGCACGAGAGATGACTGATTTGATGAAGAATAGCCAAGAACATCTTTTTTGTAGAGCTACATGCCTTCCCAGGTTGAGGGAAACGTTTAACATTTTTAATTATTCACGTGCCAATGGACAGAAATGATGCAGTAGCTCTAGCAACTCTAAAACGTTAAACTTTTGACTCTTGTGTGTTGAGCATATTGGAGTTTTATTTGATCTGTATTAGTTTAAGCTCCATTACCGCCAGCTATAGAGGCCAGATGTCCTTAGCCCTTCTAAAAGGATTAGGTCTACCCAATAAATAGTCGTTAAGATGCTAGTCTGTGATTAGCAGCTTTTGTTTTGTAGTCGTGGGGATTGTGACGTTCAGCTGACATGAGCGAAGACGTTTGTGTATGGCGCTTAACCCTACTTCAACTGGTCCCAAGCCCCCTTTCATTATTTCTGCCCGTCTTTGTGAACAGACTGAATCCTGTTAGGATAAGACCAGGAGTTATCTGGGCCCTGCTCCCTTATTTGGCTGGCCACTCTGAATGAGGCCCTAGTGGAAAAGTAGGGGACAGGGCTGCCTCCTTCCTCTGGTTTGAATGAGCCAGACTGCTTGTGTTACCATAATCCTTTCTCTCTTTCTGCCTCCCTTCAAGCACACTCGCATGACAGCTGTGTTTGGTTAGGTAAATGCCTCCACCTCCTGCCTTCATCCCACCCACCAGCTCCTTTTAAAGACCCACACTCGCCCCTTTGCTTCTTCCCCTACTGTAGCAAACTCTATCCGACCTTCTGTTTGACAGCAGAAAGTGCATTTACTCAAACCAGGCGACTATGGTTTTGATCAGTGAGCTGAGAGTTTCTTGGGCAGTGTGGCTCAAGTAGGACTAGAAGCTACATGTAGGAATCTGACCCCTACCATATGCCTTGCAGTAGATAGCTTTTTATTTGTGTGATATTTTTATTAAGTGACTTTTATTATTTAGCTTTAATATTAAAAGGACAAAGCCTAATGTTGATTTCTTTTTTTTCCCCTCATTGGGCTCAAAACCGGATTGCTTTTCCTCCCTCAGGTGGTCTATGCAGTAAGAACGCCTTAATCTTTGGTACGTCTTACAGTCAACACTAAGCGTCTGGTGACTCTTTTCTCTCCTGCTCTTCCACCATTGGAGATTTATGAGTTGCTCTGTGCACAGTGGCTCCGGTTCAGGTCGGGAGCAGGTTTTGGTTATCAACATCCGAGTGTGCACGAGCAGCCCCAGCAGCTCGGTCCCTTGCTGCCATTCCTCATCCTGCTCTCATTCGCTCCACTCAGTCCTTGTCCAAGAACTGGCTAACCCATTTCCATCACAAATCGCTGGAACTCGCTGAATCATTCTCTTACGTGTAGAGGTGCAACGGTTCATCACTGATCCGTGATCCGTTCGGTTCAACGTCTTCGGTTCGGTACAGACATGATCCGCGGTTTGATTTATGAAAAAAAAGTTGTGCGCACGTTGTTTAGTCCACACACAGCGCGGTCATTGCGAGCGGAGGAACGGAGATGCTTGAAAGCCCTGCGTCATTTAAATCCCCAGTATGAGAGCATTTTGGCTTCACTGTAACTATACTGATAATTAATATTCGACAAAACTGTCACGATGTGTAAGCACTGTGGCACAAGAAAGACATGAG